CAAAACTGTACATGTTCTATTTTAAAAATTAATTTTTTGGTACATTTTAGGTATACAGTATATTGACATTCATCATTGGAAATCTGTACCTTTACATAGTCTCTCTTGGTTCTTATTTTTCCCCTTCCCCTGCCCTCCCTTCAACCCTTCCCCCCTCCCTATTTACAAAGACTGTTTGCATTTTTCCATTTTCTCATTTTCTCATATTAATCCATTCCCTTCTTTCCTTTCCCCAATCCCTCCCACTTCCCCTTCCCCTTTGGACCTTTTCTAGCTATTTCACAATGTCTATTATGCCTTTGGATCAAATATCACAATACATATTCTTTAAAATGTGTTTATTTGTTACTGTTGTTAAGAGCATATAAAAACACATTTTTGGCGCTGTGGAAGATAAATCTTTCCAGAGCAGGGTATTCCTACTCTAGTGACAAATAAGGCTTATCCGTTCATTCCAGTCAAGAGTGACTGAGGAGTTGGCCAGGTGTTTTTTTTAAAAATGCTTTTCTATGATTCTTTATATGTTTATTATTGATAAGGTCAATGGAAACATTGGTGAAAAACGTGAAGCACATTGGAAATGAAACGCGGACGGGGACTACGGAAGGGACGCCACTCATGGCCATCTTTCCCGCTGGAGACCTGCTGCTCTGCTTGTCCCTCTGCTGGACTCTTCTCAACCTCAGTGCAGAGTGATGCGTGAAACTTGGGGGATTCTGTCCAGAAGCAGGTCCATTTCCACGACAGTGAAGGACAGAAGGGTCCTGATAGAAAACTCATCTAAAAGAAAGAGTTGTCCAGCATTGCAGATGTGACTGATATCTTGAGTGTGCACAGGATTTATCAATCAGAAAGTCTTATTCTGGCTCCACTTGTGTCTGATATTCCTGTGGGGTTAACAATGGAAAGAAGGCAAGTGAATGATTGCAAGCTTCCTTTTAGAAAATTCTGGACACTTCTTTCTTTCATGGCTAACAGCATGTAACCAAAACAGGACAGGTTTTTTCTTTTAATGTTGCCTAAAAATTGATTAAAAATGTTTCTTAGCTCATGACACATACTCACTAGGGTATGCAAGGCATTCTTTAAAAAAAACAATCTAATAATCATCCATGGATCTGTCACCCTATAATTTCCATCCAGTCAGTGGTCCTCCACAGTCTCATTCTTTGCTTTCCCCTTCCTGAGGAGCCATATCCTGATCCTGTATTTATTATCCTCTTGCTATCCTCCCATACTTTTAGCTCACCTCTATGTATTTCTATTTTTTTGGGGGGGGGTCTGGGGACCAAACTCAGGACCTGTGCTTGTGAGGCAGGCGGCAGAACCACTGAGCTAAATCACTGCCCCACCTCTATGTATCTCTAAACAGTATAGTTTTTCACTTTTAGTTTTTAATTTTATATATAAGGATATCATCCTTAGATAATCTTTCAGATTTTTCTATATTTCTGCATGTTGGTATCATTTATCATATGACTGTGTCCAGGTTGTTCCTCTACTCTCTTGTTCACTGATATTTGGGCTATTTCCAGGTTTTTGTTATTATGAACCATAAATATTCTGGTAAATATGCTCAAAGTTTCTTTTGAGTATATGCCTAGAAATAGAATTGCTGAATCAAAAAGTATGGCAGTATTCAACTTTAGAAGGTAATGCTAAAACATTTTCCAAATAGTTTTATCAACTGATATTCCCACTAGAAATATTCAAGAAATGCTTTGTGGATATATATCTCCTCCAATGTGAGGTATTATCAGATTCTTCAATTGTTTCTACTACAGTGGGTATAAAATGACACTTTCTTTTGGCATTGATTTATATTTTCTGATTACTGAGGTTGAACATTCATTCATGTGTTTACTGGCCATTTGGATTCCTCTTCTGAGGAATAACTGATCACGTCTTTTTCTCTTTTTAAAATTGGGTTGTTTGTGTGATTCTTATATATTGTTGAACTTCTTTATATATTGTTAATATTAATCCTTTGTTGGTTGTGTATGTTTTAAACATTTTTTCAGTTGGTAGTTTGTCTTCAGTCTATTTAAGGTGCCTCTTAATAAACTTAGTGTCAATTTCTTAATTTTAATGAGATTGAATTTATACTTTGTTATGGTTTGGATCTGAAATATCCTTCAAAAGCTTATGTGTGGAAGGCTTGGTCCCTAGCTGGTAGTGCTACTGGTAGATGATAGAAACTTTAGAAGGTGTGGGCTCCCTGAAGGAAAAAGGTCACTGGGGACCTGCCATTGAAAGGTGTATCAGGACCTTGGCCCTCTTTCTCTGTCTCTCCCACCCCCAGTTTCTATGAGATGAATAGCTTTGGTCTGCCATGTCCTTCTACTTATCTTATACCTGGAAATAAAGGTGCCAGTTGCCTGTGTTTTGAAACTTCTGGAACTTTAAGCCAAAGTAAATTTTTCTTTCTTTAAATTGATTCATCTGAGATTATTTTGGCGCAGAAACAGAAAGCTAACACATTCCTGTTTTTACTTATATAAGTTAGCATGTTGTATGTTTCATGTATTATATCCTTTCCTACTATATAGTCTAAATACTATTGTCTTACAGATCCTATTATTAACTTATTAAACTTCTTTATATTGAACCTATTAAGAGTTTAAAATAATTGTTTGACTTTCAGAGAGAGATGTTTTCTTTCACTTCATAGCAAACCAGGGTTAACATTGGTCCTTCAAGGTCCAGTGGAGTGTCTATGGATTACACCCTATGTAGCAGACAGAGCAGCAGGACTTGGTGAATACTGGATAGCCAATAAAAATGAGATCTTATTCTCTGATATCCAGGTGACAGAATCCTGGTCAGGAGTAGAAGAAAGAAGTTCACTGCCATTTGTTATTTACCGATTTTCCAAATGGATCTCCTATGTACATTAGGAGAATGCACCAGTACCAAAAACAGCCAAATGCCATTAATTTGAGTCATTGGTAACTGTGTCTCCAAGTTCAGTAATTCAAGTCCAGTTTTCCTGTTCATTTCAAAAGGTGAATCACCTACATTTTTCCTTGTGTAACAAATGCTCCTCACTATGCGAATTATTGTAATAGGAAGGAACCTGTTATTTAAGGCAGGAAAGTGAGAATTCTCTGGCTATTTCCTAGAAATCTTTCTTTACTCATATTTTTTCTTTTAAGAATATGCCCTGGTATATAGAAGACCCCAAAAACTCCACCAAAAGTCTTCTAGACTTAATAACCAAATTCAGTCAAGTAGCTGGTTACAAGGTCAACACA